AAAGCTCCACGAAAGCTTATTTCGTGGAGCTTTGTTTGTTGGCTGTTGAAATTTGTAGGCAGGTGAATGTTTTGATTAGGGTTTTTTTTGTACGACTCAAACGAATTGGCCTGAATGGTGGGCTGGATATTCACATAAGTGTAGTGAGTTTGCCAAGGGCCGCGAAATTTACGTGATTATTTTAATCCCTACTTATCATACTCCAATTTTTTTTTTTTTTGGTACAGGAACCTTCCGGTATTCGGATCCACAGAGGAATCGACTAATCCGGAATCGAGCCGGGTAGGACCACAAGGGCGGCAAAGCTCTCTCTAAAGAGTTTTGGTGTACATAACTATGAGATCCATTCATAACTATGAGAATTATCATACTCCAATTTGATGGTATGGTAAAATTAGGTGTACATAACACTCACATAGAGAGGGGTCTACTTGATTTTTTATTTTTGGTGGATCCCACTCAATATGAGTGTTATGTACACCGCTATGTACAATATTATGTATCTATAGCATTTCTCTTAAAATATACACTTATTTTTAATATAATTTTAATAATAAAATCGTAATCATATTCATTAATGACAAAATATTTTTTATAATGAAATCATCTTTAATCATATTTGAATAGAATTGTAATTTTTTATTAGTTTATAGATAATTCTCATAGTTATGAATGGATCTCACTTAGGACATTAGTCCAACAGAAAATACCTCGTTCTTTAGTGAATTAAAGTAGAGGTGTATATTTTTTAGCAAATCAAAGTAGATGTATTGTATGCGTTCATTTTTATATTTTACGGGTTTAGAGTACTAATCATGGCCATGGATCGGTCTGGCTCAGTCCGCCAATTCGACTCGAACCGGCCCAGAACCGAGCTCGTAGTTTGACTAGGTCGGTTCTGGGCCTTATGTATAAAAAATTTTGGTCCAGGCCGACCCTCGAGATGGCCCACCATATTTTCTTTTGGACCGTTGGCAGCCCAATAATTTGGGTCGTTGATTGCTTTTAACTATTGGAGATCGAACAATAAGATTTATTTTATTTATTATTTCTAATTTTGATTCCACGGTCCGAGTTTCGGTTCAGTTTTGACCTACTAATAATAATAGAAATTACATTTATGTCCTAGTAAAAGTATTTTACTAACTTTTATCTAAATTATTATTTTTACCTATCTCCTTCTTTTTCACTTTTACCAAAATCCATATATTCATCAATCTCCTCCTTCCTCTTCATAAAAAATTAATTAACCAATCTCTACATTATTTTTCATTAATCCACATGTCTAGTAATCCAACATCATCAGGGACACATGCAAATGAGGTAAAATATGTTAACCTCTATGTTTTCTTTTACATTGATTTTCACTCACAAATAGATTGTAACGCCCCGTTCGTTTATGAATAAATAGATTATTATTATTATTATTATTATTATTATTATTATTATTATTATTATTATTATTATTATTATTATTGTGTTGAGTAT